CCTTACTATATAAGGTGGGCACTTTATTCAACGTCTTACTTGTATGGTACACAATACCTCACTAAGTAAGTTTCTTCTCTCATTTATAGGGGTGGCAACGGGTAGGGTTAGGTATGGGTTTGGGTTCGGTTTTTGAACCTGACCTCATCAAAGAATTAAAAAATATGTATTTCAATAAATTTAATTATTTTTCATAAAGAAAGACTCAAAAATATAGGTGGGATCTGGACCCAAATCCGAACCAAAATAATATTCGGGTCTAAAGTTCAGACCCAGATCTAACCCACCAGGGCCAAGTTTTGGACCCGTACCCAAGTTTTGGACCCATACCCCAGCCTGGTGAGGGTCTACCTTTGGGACCTCCGGGTCCATTGCCACCCCTCATTTGACAAAAAAAAGTTCTCACTTGAAAGTCCATCCTTTGTCTCTCTAGTCTCATTAATTTCCCTCTCTCTGCTCTCTCTCATGTGGAGTTCATCTTCATCGAACATGTCATGAGGTTGGGGATCGAAAGTTAATAAGAGCTAGAGAGAGAAGAATAAAGGGCACTCGTGTTGGAGTTGTACCTGAAACCAACCTCATCCGCCCGCCCATAGGAAGCCCTCGGTTGGTTTGTTATTGCCATTGGAGCTGGTGCCATACCACGTGCACTTGTTGCAGAGACCTGGCCGGATCTCATAAAGCGAGGCTAGAAACCCTAACCCTAAAAAACAAATGGCACCAGTATGAAGTTATCAATAAATTATCTGATCTCAAAACTCCATTTATCTGATCTCAAAACTCCATTTCATAACAACCAAGAAGGCAAAGTTCCATTTCATAACAACCAAGAAAGGCAATCAATTTTGTTCTGTAAATTTCATGGTAGGTATGTTTATCGTTTATTTAGATCAAGCTTTTGGGTGTTGACTCTTACTTTCTCTGTTTGTGGTATATATGGTTGATTCAGATCAAGTTTTTGGGGTTTTTAGTATTCTCCTTTGCCCTCTAACTGAGTTTCGACATTGAGATTTGGTTGAGATTCAACTGTGGGAAGATGATGGGCTATGAGAACCTGGAAGTAGAAGAACCTACAAATAATAACAATCTCTTTCCACCCAGAGAAGAGATGGAAAATCTGGTTATTGATGAGGGCCCAAACACGCAAACATTCATCTCTCACAGCGATTACAGGAGTGTGATGTCATCTTTAGCTGAAACCCACCACCCATTAGCTGGTGATGATCCTCTCTCTTCGAATTCTTCCTCCAAAAGTTTTAGAAACTCAAGTTTCACGGAGGATTCTTTCCTTGAACCCCCTGCTTATGCAGATGTGGTGTTCTCTCCATTCACGGAGAAACCCATCTCAGGAAATGGCAATTCATCTCAACCTACTCAGCATCTCTCTAATTCTAGCTCTGAATTCATCACAATTATAGTGTCCAACCCACAAAAAGAGCAGGAAATCTCAAATTCTCTGGTACCTGGGGGCAACACCTACGTTACCTATCTGATAACAACTCGGACAAATATGGCAGATTATGGGTCCTCTGACTTTAGTGGCTCTGCTGAATTTAGCGTAAGGAGAAGATTCAGAGATGTTGTTACCTTAGCTGATCGATTAGCTGATTCTTATCGTGGTTTTCTTATACCTCCTCGCCCTGATAAAAATGTGGTGGAAAGTCAGGTTATGCAAAAGCAAGAGTTTGTTGAGCAAAGAAGATTGGCTTTGGAGAAGTATCTAACTAAATTAGCCAGCCATCCAGTGATTAAGAAAAGTGAAGAGTTGAGGGTCTTTTTACAGGTTCAGGGTAAGCTTCCCCTTCCTTCGACGACTGATATGGCATCGAGAATGCTGGATGGGGCAGTTAAATTGCCAAAGCAATTGTTCGGGGAATCTGTTAGTGCCATTACAGCTCAAGAGGCTGTTCAACCAGCGAAAGGGGGAAGAGATCTGCTAAGGATTTTTAAGGAGTTGAAGCAATCGGTGGCTAATGATTGGGGTGGCTCGAAGCCACCTGTGGTTGAGGAAGATAAGGAGTTCATGGAGAAGAAAGAAAAGTTGCGGGATCTCGAGCAACAGTTGAGCGCTGCATCACAGCAGGTAATCGGATAAAATCTCTCTCTATCACCCTGTCTCTTATCTCCAATGTTTTTGAAACTGCTTTCTTTGTTCCAGTTGCAATTTTTGACAATTTAAATGTTACTCTGAGAATTTCAGTTCATCTCTCTGCCCATTGTGGTATGATTAGGGTTGGAAGGAATTTTGCGTGCCTCATTTTTATCCTCGAATGCTACAGTTCTATGTCAATATAAACTTCCTAAATTAATTTGCTGTTTCCATCTTTTTTAGTGTTCCCGTCATATGCGATTGCATTCAAACGATGCTCTTTGTTCTTAAATTGATTGATTATTAAGGAACCACATACTTGTTTAAAAAGATTATACGATAATAGTTGTTGGATATTGGAGACTAGGTTGCTCAAAAATTCATGGGGGGATAACCATTTTAATTCTATTTCTCTTATGATATATTTGTGAATTATTATGTTTTCCGGAATTTTTTTTTTTGGTGATCCTGGATCTTGGTATTGATGACCTTAAAATAGTTGAGATTATGAGTCATATGCGACGATATCCTAAGAATATTTACAAATGATATTATTTCAGTATCTGTGAACTGTTATTCAAGTATACCTACCTTTTTGGGCGTATAGCCATGTGTTAATGTGACCTTCCCATTATTATTCCATGTCATGTTGCTGTGGTTCCTTCTCAGCTTAACAGTTTTACAATCTATTTCTTTGGCCAGAATCATTGTAGTCTTTCTTTTATTTACTTTCTAAATGTTTCTTTTCACTCTATCAACTCCCCCCCTCCCAAAAAAAAAAAAAAAGATAAATTCAAAATGATGTTTATTAGCACTATGGTGGAATAAGGATCCTTTTGTGAACAAGACACTTAAATACTTCCCTTTAGGTTCTTGTCTCTTCAAAATTTTATGTTAACCTCCATTAAATTAAAATCAACCTTGCATGATATGTGATTTTGGAGGCTACACCAGTAAATGTTATGGAAGTAAGCTTGTTCGTATCTTATTCTTTGTAGGATCCTAATGTTCGTTGAATCTTTGGTTTTGATGTTGCACTTTTAGTCTTTTAATGCTCATTGGTCAAAAATTATTTAAAATTAGAATGTTACTGAACTTGTCAAATTTTTTAATTGACCAATAATATTGACTTATATTCTTTTTGTGCTGATAGCAGCGTGATTACATCTGGTTCAGTTGTTTTTGCAAATGTTTATTACTTTTTTGGTTTGCAAATGTCCAATGGGGTATCTGGAAGAACGTGATGGTTTTGAATGTGGTTATACAGAACCATTTTTTTCTTGAAATCGCTTTAAATATAATTGAATAGATTAATTGTATAAGTTGTAAATTTATAGTCAGCTAACAGCAAAAAACTACTTCATAAAAAGAAATCAATTAATTATAAAAATGAAGTGCACGACTGATTTCACGGTTTAATGAAAAAAATGAGGAGAGAAAATTTGAGTGAAAGAGCTTTGGATGCAAACTGTCCCTTGATATCTATGAAGAGAATGCTAATGCTTGTTAGCAGAGTATTACTGTACCTGTAGCATTTCCTATAAAAATCACATCCATCCTAGTCTTAGTCTTTCTTGTGATGACCTAGTCACCCAATCTCTCTTAGGTGAAGCAGGGTCAGGAACAACAAATCTCTTTATGATAAACAAATCCATTTTGCAAGCTCGTTATTACAGGTAATTCCTACATAGGATCACACTAATGATGTATACAATACTTGAATTATCGGTGTAGATGCTACCTAGTTGGTTCTCATCCTTTAGAGACTACGAATGTAGTAGGAGCATTCCTGGACAAAAAGATCGCCCTAAGATGATCATCCCATGGCTATTGAGAATGAATCAAATTAGATAGTTCTATTTCTCAATCTTTCTGACTTGCTCCTAGGGAACCTGAGTCGAAAAGATAGAAAAAAAAATCAGTCATTCACAACCATTGATGAAGGATTCCTCGAAAACTTAAGGATTAGTATAGTAATTGTGAGAAAACTCTAGAGCACTTTTCTCCATTAATTACTCTTTTCATTGTGAAAACCCTGTCCACTCAAAAGAATATTCTACTTATTTTGAAGTAGAATCGACCCCCATATGTTTTGTATGTGGAAACTCTAGTTTTAGTCCTTTCCAGCATAACCTACTAAAAACAAAAAGATCTCTCCCATAGAGCTAACGTTTGGACTATTCAATGAGGCATTCTTTGTTCAATCCCTAATCTCTTTTAGTGGGAGAACTCATTTTCTTTTTCTTTGTCATAGATCAAATCATTCAACAATGAAAAATCTTCCTTGCTGCTGCACCACCATCAATCACCATTCTTCCATCGCATATACAACTGAATGTGGACGAAAGAATTTGGTTCACCTTGAATGCTCCTCTCTTGGGCTGCATGATTTTGTTTTCTAGGAGAGAGAACTAAACTAAACATGGCCCTCGTATCTTGATTACAAAGCGTGGTTGGTAAAGGACTACTCACTAGTTTCATGGCTTGTAAGATGTCTTGAAACTCTCGTGAAGAATTCTATGCATCATCCTAAACTCCAAAATTGTGACTAGGCACATTTATGGTTTCTGACTTTTTCATTTAATTTTCTATGCTCCATGTTGACTCCAATCTTTCGGAGCTAGTTTACAGTGGTGACTTTGACTTCTTCAAAATTCAGCATAAATTTTTTTTTTCAACATATATTTTGCATCCTCACCATTTATCAGAGGCCAATGCTCCTTTACTTTCTATCCAAATGCAAAGTTAATTGGCTTCAAGGAGCCACACATCTTTTGGACAAGATTACTCTCTAGGGTCAAATTCTCTCAGCAATTCCTTCCTCATTTAGGACTTTGGGAAAAATACTGTCCCTCTCTTAGGCACCTCTATGACATGATTTTGACTCCTCATGTCTTCAAGACTTGTGCAAAATACAGGTAAACCTCAACTTGAAACTTTGATTTGTAAATGCTGCTCAGGCTTAAGAGCTTGTCCTTCTTGAATGGCATTATTGTTTCTAAATTTTTCCTCTGGCACATTTGGTTCGTGTGAAAACAAGAAAAAATTATCTCATGTGGTCAAGTGTGGGAACATTTTCATACCAATTCGTCTTAATGCATCTTTCACACTAATTGGCTACTAATTGATATAAAAATATTCACACACTTGACTACATGAGAGAATTTTTTCATGTGAAAATGTTTTCTAGAAAACATTTTCACGCGAACCAAATGTCTCAAGTGATTCCTTTTTTATCATTTTGGGACCTTGCCCAATGTAATTCTAGTGGCATGTCTCGAAACTTTGATTTGTAAATGCTACTCAGGCTGAAGAGCTTGTCCTCCTTGATTGGCTTTATCATTTCTAAATTCTCCTCAAGTGGTTTCTTTTTGACCATTTTCGGACCTTTCCCAATGTAATTCTAGTGGCATGTTTGGATTTTTTCAAACAAAATTTGAAATGATTCCAATTGGAAATTTTTGTTTTCTTCCCAGTAAAAATCTTTTATTGTAACCCTTGTCTTTAATCAAGGGCATGGCTAACATTTGTTGTAAAAGGGAAAATTTCCATTACTTTGTTTTAGACTTTGCTAAATTGATTGTTCCCATGTTAGTAGTTCTTTCTAATCATTTACATGTGATGGACCCTTACAAGGGATGCTGAATTATATCTCATCATCATCATCATAGCCTTTTACCAACTATTTGGGGTCGGCTACACGAATATTGGTCCCCACTCTGCTTTATTAAGGGGCATACCATCAAGCCCTATATCTTTTCTCACTACTTCCAACCATGTCTTTTTGGGCCTAGCCGCCTAGCCCTTGCCCCTTTTGAGCCTTCCACTTGAATCAACTTGCACGTCCTAACATGTGCTGTATTGGGCTTGTGTTGCACATGGCCAGCCCACCTAGGTCTACTTTCTCTCATCTTAGCTTCAATTGGAGCCAGGCCTAAGTTCTGGGGAATGTATTCATTTCGAATTCTTTCTCTTCTTGTCTTGCCACTCATTCATCTCAACATTTTCATCTCAGCTACACTCATCGTTTGGGTATGTTGTTTCTTGACCGCCCAACATTCAACCCCATAAAGCAAAACTGGTCTCACGGATGCTAAATTATATCTCTCGGATATATTTTTGATTGTTTTATTTTGAAGTCAACACATTTCAAACAACCAAATTGCTTCCTTGCAAGACCATTTAGATACGTAAAAAGAATATCTATAATAGCTTTATTTGATTGAACATATGAAAAAGTTGTGAGCTAGCAATTAATTGCAGTGTTATCTCGATACTCCATATATAGGCTGGTGTCATGTATCAACATGTGTCGACATTCAGACATGTGCTGACACTTAGAGGCATGACTGTACGAGTTGGTTGCATCATCAGTACGGTGTCGATACTTTAAATTAAATTGTCTAGCAATTTTTGACATATAATATTAGATCTCCACATGGTAGTATTTACTTTTTGCTTTTGGCAAGTCCATGGTTCTATTGCCAAGCTTGCAATGTCTCTCTCTCCTTTTTTTTTTTTTTTTTTTTTACTATTCTTTAGCAATAAAAAGGTATACCATGCTTATAGTGGGAATGGAACCCCTTTCCATGCTCGTGGTGGGAATGGAACCCCTCTCCTGCACTGTCACATGTTACCACATCTCCATTAGTTGTTGAATGTTAGGAAAGGGACAATTATATTATATATCCTTAATAATATTTTATTAGTTGTAAAAAAAATATGCTTATAATGGGCTTGAACTCTGACACCTTGGCACTCTACCATCTCTCCAAGAGTTTAATTAATATTATAAAACAAAATATCCTATATTATATGATATAAGATTTTAATTACAAAAAATAGATGTAGTGACATGTCTTGTCCTACTGGCTTTTTAGATTGATGTACTAGATACTTGAGACACTTGTAGGCGTCGACACCCAGGTAGTGCCCATGTAACACAGGTTAATTGCTAAGTATCCATAATATGAAGTTGTACGCTAGCAGTACTGGTTCAGGATGAGAGGAGTGAAAATAGGTAAACCATACTTTTGCATTTGGAATTGTTTGGTGATAGATAATTGTTTGTGGATGCTAAAATGCTGCCTAATATTGTTGTCTCATTTGGCTTTCGTGTTATGAGATTTTTAGGCATCCGATCAAGAAACATTCTCAAATTTTGAACTAACAACCAAGAGATAAGTGTTGGTTCTTTTTGTTTTCTATGCACACGGGACAAAGTTCTTCTGGCTGTTGTTACAAAGTCGCTTGGTTGTTGTGACTCTTGTCCGATTATACAAAATCAAAGCAGCCTACCTCTTTTCATATTTTCAGGGCAGCAATTTCATTTTCAGTTTATTTTCATCTACGTCCTTTTAGTTCATAATAGTTGCAGGCATTTTCCAAAATGTGAATTGAAGGTAAACTTACCTCTGTTGACTGGTTACAGGCAGAGGGGCTTGTTAAAGCCCAGCAAGACATTGGAGAAACAATGGGAGAATTGGGATTGGCTTTTATTAAGCTTGCAAAATTTGAGACTGAGGAAGCTGTATACAATTCTCAGAGAACACGAGCTGCTGATGCCAAGCGTGTGGCTACTGCTGCTGTAAAAGCAAGTAGATTTTATCGGGAAGCAAATGCACAAACTGTCAAACATTTGGTATACAAGAAATCCTTTCAAATTTCGGCCTTTATTAAATCTTTATCCTTATTGGTGCAAGCTTAAGTTTTTCTCATGTGTCTTACCAGTCACTAATAAAAAAAGAAAAAAAGAAACAAAAAGAAATAATCATTGACTTACCAATGATATGTTTTTTTTTGCAGGACACGCTCCATGAATATCTTGGATTAATGCAAGCTGTCCACACTGCATTTGCAGACAGGTCTAATGCCCTCTTAACTGTACAAACCCTTTTATCAGAGTTGTCGTCCTTGAGGTCCAGAGTGGAGAAACTTGAAGCTGCATCCTCAAAAATTTTTGGTGGCGATAAAACTAGAAACAAAAAAATGGAGGAATTGAAAGAAACAATAAGAGTTACTGAAGAGGCAAAGGACTGTGCGATCAAGGAATATGAAAGAATTAAGGTTAGCCTTTTACTGTCGCCTTAGTTTCAGGATCTGCATGTGAATAGGTTTTTATAGATACATGCCAGTAGAAAAAATATTTTTTGACAACTTTTGATCCAAGTGAGAACTTTTGATCCCAGGTTAATTTCTGTAAGTGATTCCTAATTTATTTCATGTCATACATGCTACTGGTGGCTATCTTGATGCTTGGAAACAATATATACTGTTTTTTCTTGTTCTTGAATTGATATTTTTCTGAATCGTTTCGTGGTTCATCTACGAAATATTAACCACGTGATTTGAACGCATAGGAGCTAGTTTGGTTGTCCCCTAATCTGGTAGCTTTTTGGATGACAAGTGATCAAAGTTTCTGAAGGGTTTGGGTGGATTTGGATATTGCGAGTTTTTCTGATTTAAATTAGAAAAAAGCTATCAATTTCATGCCAATATTGGCATTCAGAAAAATTGTACTTTAACTTGTGTTTTTTAGCTTATCAGGCTCTCTCTATCTCAAACTTACCCTTCCTCTCTCAAGTCCCCAACCACATCCCCCAACCCCCCTATCTCTTCTCTCCCTCTTTGCTTCAGACACACAGGGGGACTGCCCTTTTTCCCAGCTCTTTCTCTCTCTCTCTCTCTCACACACACACACACACAGAGGCTGCCCTTTTTCCCAGCCCCCGATCTCTGTCTTCCCCTATCTACACCTGCAACTCAAATTCACAGGTGAAAGTGCAAAGAAACAAAGTAATGTAAGCATGGCTATTTCTCTGTCTCAAATTCAGCTCTCCAAAAATCGTAGCCAAACCAACTCATAAATCACACCATACTTCCTCTCCATCTCCTTCTCCGTAAAATGTGATAAAAAAGAGGCCTATCTTTCCCTTCTTTCAAAGTCCCACAAGCCTCAGTCCAATCCTCTTGTTCTTCTTCTTATCCTTCTCCTTCTCTCTCTCCTGTCCATGATGTCGAAGCCAGTTTATGCCAAACTTCGCCTCCTCGTTGCCTCAATACCCAAATTCTCCTTCTCTCTCTAAGCAATCACCTTCATTTCTTTCTCTCTCTAAGCAATCACCATTGAAGCTCGCCTCTCTTGAAGAAATTATGGAAAATCTTTTTGAATTTTGGCAAAAATCAGCCCCTCCTTCTCAGGCCCCCCTCTGATAAATCCCATATAATCTCTTTCCAAAAGCCTTATAAGAGAAGAGCCGTGGAACCAAATCAAGAAAACATCGATTCTAAGTGCCCCACTAAGCTATCTTACAATGCCATTAGAGAGAGCTTGCGCCAGCTTCGAGCCAGTGGACTCAATTTAACATAAGTATAAAGGCCTCTGATACAGGCATGGATATCATATATCTCTCTGAAGTAATTCAAAGATAGCCTGAATTTTCTGCCTGATGACCCAGCTTCAGAGCCATTAATCAAGCTATTTTTTGGAAAAGAGATGAGTGAGAGGCGGCGAGTGATTTTGGGTCTACAGAGACTGAGTTTGTGATGATGTATAGCGATTCAGAGTTGGATGGGGAAGCTAAGGAATCTGGGGCCTACGAGGTTCAGGGGAAAAACTGTGTATTTCTTTCCTTGAAAAATGTAGATTTTCCACAAAGGTGAAAGTCAAGGTTTTGGCCACTAATGCGGTTTCATGCTTCCATTTATTGTTGGGGTTTGTGTAGAGAGATTTGTGGGAAGGTTGGTCAGTAGCCATTTGCTTGGAATTGGCCATTGGGTAGACAGAGAAAGGAGGGATATAGAGTACATGGATTTAGTGGGTTTCTTTTGTGGGGACTCTCCCTCTCTCTCTCTCTGTCTCGCCCCCACCCATGCCACCAAACAATGTGGGGACTCTCCCTCTCCCTCTCTCTCTCTCTCTCCCCCTGCCCTTGTGACCAAACAAGTTATGGACACCATAAAAGAAAACATCACATCTCTAAATTCAGCATAAAAAACCTGCTAGATTTTTTGCTGAAAGGAATTTTAAAGCATGCATCCAATCTGGACCCAAATCATCAGGTGCTACTGCTCTCCAATACTAGCGAGACTACCCCTTCAAACAAAATGAGGCCCAAACCTTTTAGCCATATTTTGTGAAGCCCCTTTGTTGTTGTCCCTGCATTTTACCTACCCTCTAATCCTCTTAAGATTTTTGTACTTAATCCAAAATCTGTCAAATAGAAACATAACTTCCTCTGAAATGTGCCATTAGCTTGCTTAACCTTCAGCATGGAGGGAATTTCCTTGATCCAAGAAAATTACATATATGCTATTTGATTCTACTCATATATTATCATTGCTAGCTAATTCAAGAATGGGTTCTTGTTGAAAGATGTATGCATCATGTAATTTTGGGGACATGGGCCTCAATTTGTTTACTGATGAAAAGAAGCTGTTTACATAGAGCTAGTACATCTTACAGTTGCTTATGTATAAAATATTTCGTTGACTTGCTTCTGGCTTTTGGCTTTTATTTCTGGGAGTAATATTGGCATTTGTCAAGGTGCAATCTTTTTTTATGTACATATATATGTGACACACTAAGGGCGGGGCCTAGTAATGAACTGCATAATTATTGCCTCATTTTCTTCCTTATATGGTGATCGAGATTGAACTGCCTTACAGGTTTCTTAAACCCTGCCCAACATTTTACCTCGGGTTGTGTAATTTATGGTCGAGAACAGCCATAGGGGTTTCCACCTTGGGAGTCAAAGGTTTTCCCCTTATAATTATAGAAGCTTTATTGTAATTTCTAGTCGAGGACAGCCTTCTTCCACCCCCCCCTCGCCCAACCAAAAAAAAACGGCTTTATTGTAATTTCTTTCATAGTGTCGAGGACATCCTTCTCTCCCCCCCCCCCCAAAAAAAACCAAAAGAAAAACCTATTACATATTCACATGGAATGAGAGTTACACTGGCAGTCTCATTCATGAGATTGAGTGGCACAAACAATTGTATCAAATTTGAGTGAAAGAAGTTAGTCTGGAGCATGCAAGAAGTTTCTCAATATTTGGAAGTGAACTTTTGGGTGTATCTACTTTGTTGAAACTTGATACGTAGTAAATCTGGAGAATGTAAGAAGTTTCTCAATATTTGGAAGTGAACTTACGGGGTGTATCTACTTTGTTGAAACTTGATACCTTATGTGCTTAATCTTGGTAATATTGCAGGAAAACAACAGAAATGAACTTGAAAGGCTTGATAGAGAAAGACAGAATGATTTCCACAACATGTTGAAAGGGTTTGTAATAAATCAGGTATGTTTCCATTATGATTGCAGTGGTATATAATTATTTTATTGTTGGTTAATTTTGAACTCATCAAGGAACAAGAGGAACTAGTACTCTTTTTTGGTTGATTGTCCGCATCTAGCAATTGTTTTCTTTGGTAGAGCAGGTTATTTTAATTTGAGTTCTTGATCTTGTTTATATAGGTCCTGCTTATCTTAAATGGGTTAGTGTTGGAGAGTCTCTGGTACACATCCCTTATTCTTCCTAGGACATCCAAAGCAAGTCACTTGGAGCATAGTTGTCGATTTTGTAACTGTCCGGCGTGAGAATATAGGTTCTGATACAATCAGCAAACAATACAATGGATGTATTCAATTATTGTTTTCCGAGATTGTGTTATCAGATCTGCTTTGCTTTGGACAGGAGGCCAAAGACTTCAGCTTCAGACTTCAAACTGAAACAAAGCAAAGCTAACGCCAATACTTTCAAAATATTGGCTGTTTTTGGAATATCACTGATATATCGCCAATATTGTTGATATTTCTAAATTTTATGTATTTTTTAAAATTACTTAGTTATATATTTTTTGTTTTCTTTTACTTAAAGATTACCTGAAAACTTCCACTGGAACAGCTGAAGTGCCAAATGATTCCATTCCTAACCAAATTGGAATCTGCAAAACGAATCTGATAACACTGTTCCCCAATGCCATAATTTTTAGGGTTCAAGTTGGTTTTATTTTCTGCGGGAACTTTTTTATGCATTATTATCAAACTTGTGCTTTGCTCCTTATTGTGGGGGATTCTGGCTGAAGAATGTTGCAACCTTTTTATTGAGGTGCAGTTATGTATTTGAAGCCTTTTCAATTGAACTGTAGCAGTTTTACACAAAATGAGATCCGATTTCTTTCTTTTCTAAATCATTACAATGTTCCATAAATACATGTATGCTTTTTGTTCATATTGATTTCTTGCAAAAAGCTCTTCTATTGATTGGTGTGAATGTCACTCTCAGAAATCAAAACTTAAGGCTCCTATTCAGTAAAACCAACTTTTAAAGTTTTAAAACTCAGGATTCACCTGAGTTGAACCTGCTCGGCAACCCGGTCAGTCTCATAGTTTATTAGGAGACTTGCCCATGTCTTATATGCATTTTCTCTGTTAGTCAGCAAACTTGTCTGGGTTGAGTCAATACAATAGCTTGGGACCAGGCTGAGACCCAAGGTGAACCAGAGGCTTAAAACACTGATAAACATGGAATGCTTATATCCTAACCTTCACATATTGAGATGAAACACACTTTCCTAATATGCTTTCTAATATTAGGATGCTTCTTCTCTACCTTTGCATTTTTGCTTTCATTATCTTGTGAGTTGTGAAGTTGTTTTCTAGACATACTTAAATCTATAGCTTATGCGGCAAATTTTGATGTACAAAACTGCTTTACTAGTATTTTCCAAGGTTTCCTCCCTAGTTGATGCCACAATTAAAGTTTTATGTTCAAATTCACATAAGGATCGTGATGTTAATCTCACCAATTCACCCTCCTACATGTCATATTATTATTTGATATAAACCTGTTACCAACAATTGGCTTAGTATAATACTTGACACAAAATGGACATTACTGAAGTTTTTGAATGTTGCCAGATTTTTTGGGTTAAAGTAATCTTTGCTGTTATCATTTTATCATTTGCATACTGATACCATATGTTGGTGGCAAAGCCATTATTTGATTTTTTTTAAGGAAATTTACGTATGGACCGGGTTTTTTTACCGTTAATATGGTATGGCCCGAAAATAGCCCATTATTACCTGGAAAGATGTATCCACGATTTTTTTTTATTTTTTGCCAAGTTTGCCCCCTGTCCAATGTTTGACCATTTTATTTCCCCCAAATCCTACAAAGATTCTATTCCAAGCTAGCTCTTTTGCTTTCTCTCTCTAACTGGCTTCTCCTTTTCTCTCTTTAAGCTCTGTTCCCTCTCTCTCTCTCTCACCTCACTTTCTGCAGGTTCCGAGTTCTCACTCTTGGGTTTCTCTTTCTCTCTCTTTTGGGATTGTTAATTTGTTATTTCTCTCTCTAATCTCTTTCTCTCTCTAGAGGGGTTAATGATTGGGAGTGTGCATGTCTGCCTCACTGGATTTATTTGTGTTTATGCCCAGTTGATTTTGCATAATGATCCCCCTCATTATTTGCTGTGATATAACAGCTGTTGCATCCCCTAAGAGCTCACGAGCGAATTCTCAAATATACTCGGCCATGTTTGAAAAAAATGCGGTCCGATGGTTTGAACATCAGACCGTCTTCTTTTCTTTTTCTTTTTGAATAAATAATGCAGTCCGATGGTTTGAACATGCCTTTTGTTCTTTTTTTTTAGCTAAACCAAGTGGTCCGATGTTTGAATCATCGGACCGCATGATTTACTTAGAAAATTTCAATAGAAGGCAGTCTGATGGTTTAAACATCAGACTGCATTGTTTAGTTAAATAATTGAACAGATTGCGGTTCGATGTTCGAACCATCAGACCGCTTGGTTTTATAAAAAAAATTGAACAGATGGCGGTCCGATGTTCAAACCATCGGACTGTGTTTTCAAACCCAAAAAAAAAAGAGAAAGAAGACGGTCCATTCTTACACGGCCATGTTTGAGAAAAAAAGAAGCGGTCCGATGTTTGAAAAATCGGACCGAGGGCAAACTTGGCAAAAAATAAAAAAAATTCGGGGATCCGTCTTTCCAGGTAATAACGGCCTATTTTCGGGTCATTCTGTTATAATGGTAAAAAAACTCAGTCCATACATAAATTTCCCTTTTTTTAATTTGATAAATAACGTGTAAATGAGTGAGAATATTCATGAACTTCTTGGCTTGTAAAGGACTGATATTAAATTAAGTGTTAGAAGGTGGAGATATGCAGCGTATGTCCAGAACAAGTAGAGAGAATTTTAAATTTTCATGTGCTCCATTTAGTACTAAAGTTTAAGTTAAAATTGTTGGTACGAGGTGAAGACCAAATAAATGGATTTCTAGATCACTTTGACAGCTTGTTTGCTAAGGATATGTTTGACAAACTACTTATTATCCTAGTACTTCAGAATAGGAAAAAGCCACCAATAGGTTGCACCTGTAATGGATCGTAATACAGGTTGACTCAGCCGTCAGATCTTTAATTAGATGGCTGAAAAAAGCATGTTGCTATTTGAAATTTAATCTTTTTTCTACGAATTGGATAGAGATGAAATATGAAATATTTGGCGTGTACTTCAAATGACTAAAGTGACTAACTTACCCTCGTCATTTTTAGGGGTATTATGGTTATTTTAAATTTTGAAAAATAATTTTTATATTTTTCTTGTGGGCCTTATTTTTTAGTACACAACCAAAATTTCATCTTGAACCAATTTGTAAAAAAAAATTAAAATTCAAATAGTAACATGCATTTTCAACTATCTTAACTATGATTTGACAACTGGGAGTCAACCTATATTATTATTCATTATAGCTACAACGTATTGGTAGCTTTTTCCTTCAGAATAATATATAGATTTATAACAATCATGTTCTTTCCTCCGTAAACCTTGTTTTGATTGATCAAGATCTTTCAGAAAATTAAGATGAGTTCCTCTTATCTGAATATCACAAAATTCAAGTAGGACATAATTTTATGGGTTCAGTTATCACTAAAATCTAAATGGATTGGGTGGCTTTCCTTCCCCCATCTTCTCCTCACCTTCATCTCTTCCATCTTCTGCATACCCCTGAGCCTATTGCACCTAAACCACTCTCTCGCCTTATGGACTGAACCAAGCCAGCTGCCAACCTTGCCGGAAAATAATTTCCCTGTAATTGAAATGAAGAAGACTCTAGGTTAATCACACCTAAAATGAGAGAACCCATCTTGCTTTCCTTCCCCTGCCTCCCCCTCGCATTCACCTCTGCCATATTCTACATGCCCACTGAGCCTATTGCACCTACACCACTCTCTGGCCTCATGGACTGAACCAAGCCAGTTGCCAACCTTGCTGGAAAATAATTTCCCTGCCACTGAAATGAAGAAGACTCTTAAGATTAATCACACCTAAAGAGAGAGACCCCCCTCATTGTTGCTCTTTTTCTACAACAAGGGCAGTTTCGGGGTTTTGGTATAGGGTGAAGCTTTGGTGATGCTGCTGGCCGGGGAGTATGCTGTGAAATCAGCATGAAGGATTGTAGTGCACACCATTAGATTCAGGTTCAATGAGGAAATCTATCAATCCATATAGAAGTAATGACACCATTAGATGAGTTCATGGCTGGACAGAGTAAAAAGAGAGGAGGTAAATTGAGAGGAATGACTATGAAATTAGGGTTTTGAAGAATAAAAAAGGTTAGATTTTCAACGCCCCATTTGGGCTGGTTTTTGGGTGGCCTTTTAAGCTGGTGTTTTGGGAGATTGGGTTCTTTGAATTGCAGAGAAGAAGATAAATGCGGTGCATTTGTGTTGGAAAGAAGAAAATGCTTGGGTACTGGTTTTTTTAAGATTTGAAGAAAGAATTGGGTATTTTGTGTGTGTGTGAGAGAGAGGGAGTGAGAGAGAGAGGGAGAGTGCTGCAAATCAAGTGATTGACATAAAACACCGGAATCAAATCCACCCAGATGCAAATCTAGCAATGGAGATGAGCTGGAGAGAGAGAGAGAGAGAGAGAGAGAGAGAGAGAGAGAGTAGTTTCGTTTCGTCGACGTACGTAACACTACGTACTTACTTACAACGAACGGTAAAGGTAAAGTAATTACTTACTATAGTACGTACGTACGAC